CCCACAAGGGGCGGGGTTTGTGCGAAAATTCGTAACTCCTGTCCCCATGGACCTAGAAAGTTCAAACTTGGTAGGAGTACAGACACCGTGATGGGGAAACTTATGGTGGGTGGTAGAACCAGACTCCGCTCACAGGAGGCGAGGTTTGAGCGGAAACTCATAAATCGCATAAAGGTCTGTAATGAAAATCAGCTCATGCGGCTCCGTCTCTCATGGCTAGAGCCCCTAGCGCGCGCGAAAGCGTGCGTAGCCGCCTGGTATTCTTTATATGACTAAGCTCAGGTTATAGGCTAACTAAATAGTTAGTGATTAATTATGCTACTAGATCTCGTTTATAACAAATACCTCATCCTTTTTTGAACTCACATCAATTATAGGTTCAGGAGTGCATGTTGTCGTAATAACACCATGGCGTAGCCGATGCACTCCCGTAGAATTGCCTTCGAGTTCAATCTGGTGAAGGTTTTTTTGAAATTCTTTTTTTATTCACAGTAGATACTCTTCATTCCCTATGAAGCATAAGGGAAAACCGTCAGAACTCTCGATCGCTCACCAAATCGATGGTTGGTATGCTGTCGATAAGTCCGACTAGCCGATACACACGCTGATCACTGAAGCCATATTGAACCTGAAAGTTCCAGTATACCCTTTGATGGAAAGATTGGAAATGGGATCTAAGGTAAATTGTTGGGAAATTCGAATAAAGTGCTTCGTTTACCCGTAATCCTGCCCCAGCTCGATGTCGCACTTGAGAGGCATCGTAACACGCGCTTCGACGTACTGCATGTACTTCAGTAGCCTGAAAGTTTCGTTATTATAAGTGACGGATGAGGCCTTTCGGCGTTGAATAAACTCGTTTTTGGAATGTATCCCGCATTAGACTCCCATTCAAATCGTGGTAGATGCGCATGTGGCCTAAACTACATTGAAAACGGCGGTCAGGCAATGCGCAAGTCAGTTGTTGTGTCCTTCCAGACGAGTCTGATCCCATTATCTCTGCATCGGACGGATGGAAGTCTAATATGACCTGGGCGCGTGTGATCCAGGATCAGATCCCCATGCGTGTGATAGTGCGCCATTGCCACCACACTTCCTAATCTTTATTGTAAGGATAGCTACAAAAAGTTACCTCAAGAGAAGGTTTAATCAAAATGAGCGCTTTTGTGCTTACCAGCGCTGTGATAATGAGGTTGAGCGAACAATATTTGAAGATTATGACCAACAAAAAAACAGAGAAGCAGCTCAAACTAGGGACACATCAAAACATACATTCAGATCGATCTTCGAGACGTTGTGACTAATTTACTGTCACGAAAAAGTAAAAAAAAAAGACAGCTTGCAGTTTGGATTTCTCCATCTTCAAGGTGAGAAACTGAAGGATCAACCTCTCAGCTTTCAGCCAATTATCATTTCTCCACGTACATGATTGTACACTCAGGACAAAGTTCAGCACGATTCTAAGACGTACCGGAAGGACGTGTTTGGGATGGTAGATGATGATGCCGTTATTGTCGACAATAATTCCGTAGATTTGATCTCCTCGAGGTAGCCTATCAGTCAGCTCGGCTATACCGATATCGATACCTGAACAAGAACGTTGATAACTGATGAAAATCGTTCCCAAAATGGTCTATGCTGGAACCGCAATCCTACATGCAATAGCGATTACCCTATTTGGCCAGAACGTGAGGTCTTACGGATACTAAGACGAAAGAGAAAAGAAGCATGTTTGGTTAAGAATTATGGATCAAAAGGAATGATCTCCACTGGCATACTTATATTAGTAAAGTGTTATCAGCCAGTAGCACCTCTAAGCAGGAACGCGAATTTACCTGCTATACCGGCAATTCGCTGCCCTAGCCAGATGCCGTCTGGCTTCGTGACGATGGGTAGCGATATAGTAATAGTGGGGCCGAGGCCTTGAACCTCCATGTAGAGTTTGGACCTCAATCATGTGAATTACGTACATATAAAATTACGATTATGTAATTAAAATCAAAAATTATGTAAATTTAAAGGAATATTCACGAAATACGTAATCTTAGGGGAGTTGCTCATAAACAGCGACCGTCTGAAGCCGAGAATTCTGTGGTATTCTCCTCATTATCTGATCATTCTAGTCTATGACCATGTCCAGTGTTCGTCTGGATCGTAAGGATATCAAAATTTTACTTACAGAAGAACTGTAGACCCCACCGATACTCGTTACATGTCACCCCTTATCAATAGACACTTGACTTACTAAATTGTTAGGGCTGGCTTCATCGAATTGGCCTAATCCGCTTGCTTTAATGCTCATGGTCAGTTTAAGGGTATTAAAACCAGCTCGTTCGATTGACCTTTTAGGTCTCCAAGTTTTCCTGAGGATACTGAACTGACCAACTTATCCGCCGGGCTTCAATTGGAGTAGTTTCGAGTGTTTTTCCGAGCGCAACGCTCAAATGATCCAAAAATGAACGTGACTGTGGTTTCACATCCATAATAGAGTCGATCACTGTAACCTGGCATTTACAGTGCCTATATACAAAGACAATTTGTTTGAAAGGTCTTCAAGGAACCTGAATATTTGCCAAATGTTTTACAAGCCATCCAGTTTAACATAGGCAGTTGTCCTGTACCGTAACCCATCGAGTAACCAAACATACGAATCTGAAAAGGAGGTTTTTGTTTAGAAGAAATACTACTCAAAGTCCGATACGCTTCACCCACCACGTCGCCGTTTCGGTTGCGGAGTTCCTCTTCCATTACGGCATGAGGCCATTCATCCAGGCCATCAGTAAACAACATAAGCAACTTATGGCCTCCCGAGCGGTAATTTGGGAATGCCGAGTTAGTCGAATTCAGATTCTGGATCGGGTTACATGATGTATCAGAAGACCAGAAACAACTAAAGTTTATCAAATGTTGCACTCGTACCCCACGTAACGCATCCAGAGAGAACCGCAACGGAGCTGATACATGAGCTTGGTCTTTCTCTTCAAGTTCGCCAAGTCGTTCAAAGAAAATCTGAAAAATCTGATCTATCCAAGAGCTCCGATCTTCAAAAAGATTTCCATTTGTTCTACAAAGGTTTAACCAGAGAAATCTGACAAGAAGTGTATTCAGGCAGAACGTCAGTTGAAGAAAATTCAAAAAATTTGAGCCTTAGCGCTTGCAAATGGCGCGTTCTCAAGTAAATCCAGATGTTGCCACCGTCCCCATGTAACGCATCCATTGAAAACTGTACCGGTGTTGATACATGAGCTCGGGGAGNGAGGGGGGGGGGGGGGGGGGGGGGGGGGGGGAGGATGGAGAGACGGGCTCAAGCTTTTCTGACTAATATAGAGATTTTACCGTAGCATCTTTTATCAAAGACCCAGTGACTCAGTGATAGAATATTCAGTTCACGAGTTGCCACTCTACTTCTATTCGCTCAATCTTGTCTTCGTCGAATCATATTATGAAGGGCTACTTTGAACTAGCTGGACTGTTCGTTTGTTGCAGTGATTTATTTAATCGCTGCCTGCAACACCTTCATGGAACTTCTCTGTCCTTCCACAAAACAATCACTTAAATCAAGAGGATTGCTGGCTTTGTACCGAAAATACAAGAGAAAGGAAGGCACAATGTTTTGCTAGGGTTTAGTTGCGCCACATATGCCCGCTCCACACTGATTTGGCTGTCATTCGTTTGCCACCACATTTGTCCCATTTGTTGTGACTGTGGTCGCTAACTGTCAATTCACCCGACTGGACCCTTCTTTTTCCGCTCACAACCCTTAAAGATGTTTCTACAGGGAAAGGTACTGGTTTAAAACTCGCGCCAACAACAAAAAAAGCGGATGATTCCTGAATAAAAGTTAGATACAAACTTGGAAGAAACAGGAATTGTTCGGGTAGTCACCGTTGGTCCGGGCTTATTAATTTAGTTTAGATAACTGGCGAACTTGAGTTTTTATTCTTTAAGATTCAAAGTGCTCTGACGATAAGATAGTGAGACAACATTCAAGCAGGGGAGGAGGTGTACGCGCGTCAGGCCAGTAGTAACTATAATTGTCGGGAACTACCGAGGATTTCCCTCTCCTCAGCTTTTCTCTCTGTAGAGGATCCTAGTCGGTTGGTGGCCAAGCTACGTGATGCGATCCCAAGTGGCGGATATGGAAATAGACCGGTGACTAAAAACCACCGGTTCTAAAGACGAATTCAGGGGTTTAATTCTTTGTTACTTCTGTGTTGGGGATCCCCACCCTCTCGCAGATGTATCTATGCAAGCTTGTGTGGAGTGTTGTAAGAGCGTTGGTTTGTGCTCGGTTCAGCTACAAGCTTGCATTGGAGTCACTAGGAAGTGTTGAAAAAAGTTTCGGTGGAATCTAACGCAAAACCCCTTGTCCTTTCTAAGAATCTTCTCCCAGTTTGCTGAGGTATACCCATCTCCACGTCACAGCCTGGCAAACTTCTCGCGGGTAACTATCTACCAATAGCAGCAGTATGACTATACGTCATTCCGCTGATCCTATGAGAACTCTCACGCGTTGGCTAGGGCAACGAGGCCATAACACGCAGCCGAAAAAAGGAGGACTTTATGGCGGTCTGTACGTCCAAGGCACGAACGCTTGCATCAGAAGCCTGTATCGAAGATCTGATGATGCAAGATAGGAAGATCAAGGGAGACGGGCAATAGGATCGGTTTAGTGTAGGATTCGCCGCACGCGGCTGTCGCGGATCATTCGCTTCGCCGTTATTACAGCTCTGATGTTCTTCATGCAGCTCAATCGATATGCGATCATTATTTTAGGCACGCTTCTACTGTTGAATCTTTTGCTTCTGTACTTCTTATCTGTTGCTACATTCTGCGACATTCTTTCGCGCGCGGCGTCTTCTTTCGCGCACGGCGTCCCTCTTGCCGCGACGCGACAATTTCGACCCTACTGCACCACACCCGAAGACCAAGTATGATTTCATCGGGCTGCCGAGACGAGAAGGCATCACCCGCTGCATTCCGTTTTTGAGACTTCAAAAGAATATGCGTCGGCGGGAACGTTGGTAATGCATGTGTCCTTATTGGCCACGAACGTCGGTTCGTAGGAAAACTTGACATTCCGAATCGGAGTTTGCGACCAAGAAGATGTGGGTCAACCCCATCCCTCAGAATTTTCGTTGATTACGCACAAACATGACGATGAAGAGGAGTTGAAAGTGTAGGGATCTGGAGAGGCTCTACAGAGAAGGCCACACTTTCTTCAAGGTCATCGTCGGTGATTTTGACGCCAAGACTGTCCCCAAAAGAACGGGTGGACAGCTTCACCCCGGGAGCGACGGGTGGGAATGGAACAAGTGCTGTAGAAGACGTTCTCAGTTTATTATGGTTGACCCAAACTATCCATAATCATTCTAGAAGTAATTCTATCCATAATAATTTGCGATGACCTTGGCAATCGTTTTGTATTCAGTTCCAACCTGTAGTGAACCATATCGTCTCCAACCGAAAGATTTGCCTGATTGTTGTTGTCTTGGAATCCTACACGAAAATGGACCGTCTTCCCCTTACCCTTCTCTGTCTTTCGAGGCGTCGAGAAAATTGGGAGTTTTAAGAAAGGAAACTGCATAACCGCCGTCGTTTGATGCCAACTCGCTTCCCTTGTGAGCTTATGGTAGGATGCCGTCAACGACATCATCGATGAAGAGTATAACCGGCTCGTTGATCTTCATCAGCTCTTTCACAGCACTTCAGCCATAGCGCTATGGAAGAAGGGAGCCTACAAGTTGTTACAATATTCTTCTAAGACGCTGAAGCCGATACGCCAATGTGGAATCGTGCAAGATGAGAGCAGTCAATAACTAATATCCAGACTTGCTATGCTACGTATGCATAGAAGCGGTAAATGAAGATCCGAAAGAATCTGCCAGTAATCTACAATTTGTTCACATGGGTTATCCTCTACAGGTTGGCAGAATCTCAGATGAAGGACAGCCAAGTGACCGAGAATTGTTTCGAGAAGGTTCAGCCTAGTCGGAGTAACGCCTTTGATACTTTGGAGACTGAAGCGGTAATTGAGCTCTAGCCAACCAAGGATTTTAATTGATGAGGATGCTTCGTGAGTCCTACGACAGCATCGCGATCAGAATCAGCTTTGCGAAAGAAGAAGCGCGGCAGTACTATCAGCCAAGATTTTCAGTACAGCTCATTACGCCAGCACGAATGGGAAGCAGGGAGTTAAAGTGGACGGCTGCTACTTACATCATCTCCACTCTGCAGACGAGGTCGTACTATAATACGGATCATCCAGCAGGCGGAATGAATGCTGGAAAAGGGTGGAAAGATCAGCTTGCAACCAAATCTACGAAGACGATGTTCACGGAAAACGGACTGATATACCATGCTTCTTTCACGCCACGCTTGAAAATGTCTGGTTGCTGGAGCTTTGCATATTTAGGACGAAAAGTGAGCATGTTGCTCCTTAGCTCAGCAGAAAGAAACGCGCAAAAGGAAGGAAACATTCAAGAAAATCGAGGGAGTAGTGGAGAAGACTCAAACGAAACCGCCATAGTCCTTTCGACATCGTGGCCCCTTCTGCTTTAAAATACACCTCAAAGGCTTAGCCTTACGCGAGCAGTACAACTCACAATCCGCGCTGTTCAATTCAAAACGCTGTTATAAGAAATTATCAAAGGCCTTTTTCAAATCGATGAACGTCGTTCATAACGGCATCCTGTATTCTCACGACACTTCAGTGAGTTTTGTAACGGTGTGGATGTAACAGATGAGTTTGAACCCTCTCCGGAACCACGTTTGGCGTTTGTTATAAGAAAATGTCTGAAATTTTCCGGAACACGCAAGCGCGGAAAGAAATTCGGGGCCCCGACGATTGAAGCACAGGGGCGTCACTGCTCACGCGAAGGAATCGAATACCAGGCGTTGAAGACACGTCATGTAACTTTTTAATGACCGCTAGACCAGGATTTTCTGGAACGTCATACGCCCACCAGGATGGTGGTCAGCGGTATGGTCAGACTTCTTTACAAAGGCTCTAAACGAAAGGAATGCATTGCTTTGTGTGCCTCGAGCGAGGACGATCCCGTGCATGAATGATGACGTTACTGTCCCGTTCAAGCGATCGATGACCAGCAGAACTTTATGTCATACAGATGATCTAGAGTAACGTGGATAGTAAAGGTAAGAACCACCATGCAGCAAAGCGAGAATTCAGGCTGGGATGCGCTCTTCCCAGTCAAGGTGTCATTTTGGAGATCAACCCTAGCGGCTTACTTCTGATTTCCTAAATGAAACTAGGATCCCTGCCACCGCACTTTCTCGAGCTCATCGAAAGTACTTGCAGGCCTAGAAGAAAATTTGCAATTCATACGAGCAAACGTCAGTGTGGGGGAGGAGCCGTACCCAGCTCCGTCGATCGATAACTCACCAGCCAAAGCCCGTTCATGAGTTTTGGGAGAAGAGCTGCTTCATCATCAACAGGTAACGATGCCATAGCTACATCTCAAGAGATATTGGGCGCGACCACAATGATTAAGTGCTATAGAAAGACCAATACCTTTTTGTTGCTTGTCGTGGCAGGCAGAAATGTCCCATTTGCGCAGGAAAGAATCGGTGCAAACACGGAATTGAAGTACACGCCTGTAATAGATCGAACTGATGATTGTGCCATACAATTGGAAGGCAGTAACATTAAACTTGTTAAGTTGTTAAGGTTTATTAGTTTGATGTATAATAGTTTAATGTAGACTTAAGGGGTACGAGTAGTCCACAGTCAATAGAAATCAACATGAACACTCCAACCACACTCGAAGGAGGTCCTCTTTTTCGCGTTGACCTTAGGGATTGGACAGTACCATTTCGAGGAATTTAATGCTTTGTTCAGTGCTAGTCTAGGGAGATTACTCAAGCGCAAGAGAAGCATCGGCGCTGCCGCTTCCCAACCAGAATTTTTGCTTCTACTTGTATCGTAGTTCACTGCAGCTCTTTACTGCCACATCAGCCAACTCATCCAGGGACAAATCCCATAAGAATTTGCTGGGCATATGTGGTGTCTTTTCGTATTTCCACTTGAGCATTTAACGATATCAGACGGTATCCACGGTCAACTGAGCATCCTTCCCGCTGTGCTCAAGCTTTACGAAAAACACTGCCTTAATGGAAAATACTAGTATCATCCTTCAAATGGGAATGCTTGGGGAACTTACATAAAGGTCATCGGTGACATTGAGCGAGACAGATGAGCTTCCTCTGAATAATCTGATGACCCCCATCGACATCAACCGCTCAAGCCCGCATAAGGTCTCGTTCGAGCTCATGCCTCTCCAAACCCAGTAGATGGTTCCCAGACTTTTTTGATCCTTCAGGGAAGCATTACGCATGAAGTGGCCATTCTACTCACATAATTGGCTGTTTTGTACTTGGAAAAACTATAGCATTCTGCATCCCATTCTTCTTCGGGAACAGGCTTGATGCTATGATGGTGGGGTTTCTCTCTAACTTTCTGTACGGAAAAATATGACCTACCAAAGAAATAGTCATTAGGTGACAGTGTAGACAAGATGTACATCATAGTGATCTTTATAAGATGCATCGTTGGACCTTTTACACTTCCAGAGCTGAAAATCAAATTTAGTTCATTAAAATTTCTTCAGTTCCCAAAAACTGAGTAGGTCAGCACCAATCCTATTTTATTTTGTGATGAAAATAGTAGCGAGTAATAAGATATAATAATGAAAATGAGAATAATAAGCCAATCTTCAGTACTGCCTTTTACGGACGTCAACTTAACTGCTGTAATTCGCGGTTGTTTCTTCGAACTCACTGAGGGGTTTGCATATACGCTTGCATGGGCCGACGTTTTAGTGGGATGGTTTTCTTAAAGGACCATAGCAATTTGCTAGTGCCCGGTCACACCAAGAACTCACAGAGCAAGTAAGTGACCTTCTTCAGATTCCGTGAGTGCCCTAGGATCTCGATTTTGCCCGCTTATTTGATTTAGCTCTAGCACAGGATCATTTTTTCCAAGCGCGCGAGGGTAATGGCGATCCTAAACGCAGTCAAGCACTCCATTGGGGAGTGTGTACCACAAGTCCCTCACGATATCGCCAGTGTCGAAGGCTTTGATGGAGATTCCTGACCGGCTCCTTTGTTCAGATGGTTTTTCAGGCTTCTGTTACAGATGGTGGTTGGCTCATGGTTGAAGAGCCACATGACCAAAAAAGTTGGGCTATGAAATTTTACAACTATTTTAAGGGATTGTTGGTCAGAAACTACGGATCTCCTTCACTGTGAGTTCTCCCTCACTGAACGATCTCCAGCCGGTTAGTGACGGGGCTACGTAGGGCGTCCCCAGGTGGTGGATGGGGAATTAATCGCCGACCAAAACTTAACGGTACTTGCCCAGAGACGCAGGTAGATTCAGAGAATGGACTCCTTGATTCTGCTGTGCTGGGTCGATGAACCCTCTCTATCTCGCAGGCGTATCCACGCATACGTGTGTGGAGAGTCTGTGGTGCAGTTGGTATCCTGTCCATCGACTCGGCCAAAAGCTTGCATTCAAGTGACTGGAAAGTATCTGGGAGGCGATTCGGGGCCGCCTCCAATAACAAATCCCTCGTCTACTTCGCGATAGCCTGGCTAGCCCCCGGCGTCAACCTGGCCTTCGCGTCAGAGCCTGGCAAGCTGCATGTTGGGTATCCACACTCCAAAAACAGTAATAAATATTGGCCTCATTCCCCTGAACTTGAGGGAGCCCCCAATAGGCAGCGTTGGGTAGGACCGCTCGGAAGAGGCTGCTAAAATCTCAGGGCCAAAACAGGCTGCCCAAAAAGAGAAGAACTAAGATGGCGATCTGTACTTCAACGCACGGACACTTGCATCGGAAGCGTGTATAGAAGACCTGATGATGCAAGCTAGGAAGATCAAGTACGACGTCATCGGACTGACCGATACGATAAGGCACCGTCCGCTGCACGCTGTGTTTGAGAATGGAGAAGAACGGTTCCTTGGAAAATGCGACAGCAGAGGCGTCGGCCACCTAGGTGTCCTCGTCAATGCGCACTTGGCCATGAATATCGATTCGTACGAGAACTTAACAACTCG